GTTAGGGGTGGACATAATCTCTGTTACTTTCTGAACGTTACATTGGTGTTACTTTGGCTTTACTTGGCTATATGGAATTGTGAATGTGTACGTTACAATGGTACGATCCTTTATACTCCATTGATTGATCTACATATATATATTTCATTTGGTGGAATAATTATAGGAATCGTTGTGGACGAAATTTGTGTGAAATATAGATTAGATCGATGTAAGTTTATAGACGAGTATAAAGGATCAGAGATGTTTATCTTAAGACGATAGTTGTCTGACATTCTACCGACTTCACGAAGTCATGTCACTAACATTAGGCTCATCATCTCTACCTATCTTGTCCTTCCTCCCCCTTCCCCCTATTCTTCCTTCAGTCGCCAGTATCGAGTCTCCTCGACGAAACGTTCTCTGGCCGAACTGAAGAACATTCGTTTCTACCCATTGCTCACGATTAACCCACGTATAATCATGAGACTGCTCTGACCAATGCGAAACCGATCGTGTCGTCCAAGGTGATCGACTGACTGAAAATTCTTGTTGGCCCCCTATAGACCATAGTTCCTAGCTCAACTTAACCCCAAACTTAAATACACCACACTTAGTCTAAGTTTCTCATTCAGACTCGAAACGAAAAAGGTAAACGAAGACTTAACTCAGGCCTAAATTTAATCCTATCGCGATATATACATAGCCTGAAAGAGAGAAACGAAACTTAATTCAACCTAGAGTTCAGATGAAATTTCACTTATAGTTCGGTATATAACATAACCTTAATATTAAACGAAAGTGTTAACCTCGGTGACTTATTAAACGGTCCTGTGCTAGTACAGGGCCTAGCTTTAGTCCCGATTATTATAGCGTTAATCTAACATTTAACGACCGTAAATTAAACCTATAAAGGATTAAAGAAAATACGATCAAGGGTTAACGGAACAACGATTCTTGGGCCCGATTCGTTTCCTGTTGGTCGTGAAATCGCTTGTAACAGCGTGTAACGATTATCTCGAACGTTTTACGTCGGTCGTGAATTGAGGCTTGGTGCAGAAAGGAAGTGTAAACGAACATTATGTGTAAATCTCGGATTCTTGGAATCTAGAAAGCTATATGGTAAAAAGAAAAAGAAAAAAAAAAAAAAAAAAAAAAACGTGTTTCGAGCGTCGCCCGGACAAATAAAAAGCAGTTACTATAACCACAGCTTTGTTTTCTTTTCATCTTATCGATGGCTCACCAAATTCGTTTATCCTCTCGAAAATCACTATGTATCAGTCTAAACGTTGAACATTTTCATTTCTAAAAGATCGTTTAATAAAAATTTGATTAGTGGGTCATCCAAGCCACGTTTAATTAAAAGAAGAAAAATGAGGGCGAAGAAATACGAAACGACCTGTATTAGCTTATCAAAATCGTTGGAAATATTCCATGGCGACGTCCATCACGTGTTCCCATGCTTGTTGTGCGACAAATGTTTCTATGTATGTGTACAACTTTAACTTGATAGCCTATGACATAGGGACGGATCCAGTTTCGAAAAAAAAAAAAAAAAAAAAAAAAAAAAGAAAAAACGTGTTTCGAGCGTCGCCCGGACAAATAAAAAGCAGTTACTATAACCACAGCTTTGTTTTCTTTTCATCTTATCGATGGCTCACCAAATTCGTTTATCCTCTCGAAAATCACTATGTATCAGTCTAAACGTTGAACATTTTCATTTCTAAAAGATCGTTTAATAAAAATTTGATTAGTGGGTCATCCAAGCCACGTTTAATTAAAAGAAGAAAAATGAGGGCGAAGAAATACGAAACGACCTGTATTAGCTTATCAAAATCGTTGGAAATATTCCATGGCGACGTCCATCACGTGTTCCCATGCTTGTTGTGCGACAAATGTTTCTATGTATGTGTACAACTTTAACTTGATAGCCTATGACATAGGGACGGATCCAGTTTCGTGATGACAAAGGCTGGAGGGAATGGTAACTTGATTTTTCAATTTCTACCGTTATATCATCGCTGAGTCGCTAATGACGCAATACAGTCCCGATTATACAGAGTAATTAATTTTAATTAGTTGTAGCCAATAAATCTTATTATCATTTTGAATACGCCAGCGTTTCCCGCCATTTCTCCCCACCACCGAATGGATCCGCCCTCGCCTACGAATTATTGTACGGTAACGCCGTGTTAAGAGCGCAAGGAAGTTGATTTTCTAGTCAGGTTATGATTATACACAATTTTACGTTGACAGATATCATATTTCATCGTTGTGAATATGTAAGATGTTTTTCCTCTTCTCTACTTCGTATCTATCTCTATTTTTGTTTCCATCCATTCTTCCTGTCTTTAGTTTTGGCTTTTCGTGTCGAGCGCGGCTCGTCATCGAGCGATAAACATCTAATCATTAACAACATGTCAAGCAATGACAAAGACGACGATTATACGATACGATTTCGAATTAATATATTAATTATTATTATTGTAATTCTTATGGTTATTCTTCTTATTATTATGATTACGGTTATTGAATTGATTGCTACCATCGTCGATTTATTAGTAAAACTACCACTACAGTTATGTAATACCTTTGTAAATGAGAATCAAGAAACCGATGGCTAGGGAAAAAAACTTAATAAATTGAAATTCTATTAACCCAAACGTGTTCCATTGTTATTCCAATTCTCCTCTTGTGGGTGTTTCCCCTTTTATGCAAGTACATAAATTTACGTACGTCTCAATTTCGTTCGTTTTCTCTACAGTCAGCGATAGTAAAACGAGGCGTTTAAATTTTGTTCCACGAAAGCTTTTCTAGTATTTATCCAAGACCAATTCTCCTCTTGTGGGTGTTTCCCCTTTTATGCAACTACATAAATTTACGTACGTCTCAATTTCGTTCGTTTTCTCTACAGTCAGCGATAGTAAAACGAGGCGTTTAAATTTTGTTCCTCGAAAGCTTTTCTAGTATTTATCCAAGACTAAATGAATTTTTTAATTTAGAAACATTTGTATAATTACCTTGAAAGTTTAGTAACAAGGACATATAATCAATGTTTTACAAAAGTTCATACGAACAAAGCAAAAAATATATATACAATTTACGACCAGAAAGTATGCGTACACATAGAAGCCATATGAAACTACGGAACGTACTCTTAGAAGTTCACCTAGTTACATTCATGTATTGTCATAAGTCATACATAATTTTGTGTTCAAATATTTAATATCGTTCAAATATTGTCGTTCTATCACACGTATAAACTGACAATGCCAATTGAAAATCTCGCCGATAACGCTTTTACGCTTTCCAGACGTTGAAAAAATTCTACATGTATTAGTACATGCACACATTACAAGCTACAAATTAAGAAATCATTTTAAAACGCATTAAAATAAATGTCATTTCTCGTTTCATGTTCTCCTTATATTTCTCTCAGATTTCATAGGTTTAGACTTTGTAAGGTGGACCTTGTAAGTGGGAGATTTTCGAGGTACGTTTCATCGATTGGAATGTTAACTTTTGTCCTATAATTTCTGATATCCAAGCTGTTATTAATTCGTGACAAAAGATCATACATCAATTATTATCGAATCAATGAATATTTGTCGAGTTCGAACGTCTGTACAGGTATTGACGAATATTTTTCAGGACTCAAATCACCGTAGGTTTAAAGATGGAAGAATCTTCTCCTCTACAACGAACAACACTGCAATTTGTTTACATGCCAGTGCATGAATAATCTAACACGAAATAATTCATTGCTTTAAAATAAATATCGAGCTTCGCGTTATCTTTAGCTGAAGTATATTAATAAATTTCAGTATTTCTGTGACTAAGACTAGGTAACATGTGTCAGGGCCGTATTGAATTTGCGAATTCGCGTCTTCTGATTGTCGAGCAGCGGACAAGAACGTAAACTAGACGATAACTCGAACCAATAACAGTAGAAAAACAAGATAAATTTGTATTTAGAGGTCATAGTATTTAAATAGAGTTATAAAAGTTAAATTGATAGTTAATATTTTAATAATCATTACTACAAATAATAAATGCATTTAAAATACTGTAAAATGACAGTAAATTAGCAACAGAAGACCTTTTATTTACATTTTGCGATAATTTAATAATATTTTATTCTTAGTACTTTTATTTAGGCTAACAGGTCCAAATTTCGTTTCTCGATCATTCTTTGTTGTTAAGTACTGTAGCCCCTAAGTTGCAATTGAGATTTGAAATAGACATGCAACTAGTTAAATGGTAGCAAAGTGGAAGAAATTCGTTGTTTCCAGTACTGCGCTATTTCTTAATATTTCAAATCGTATTTCAACATCTAACGTTTGTGTAATTCCGCCATTTAGTTTTGGTGAAGCGTAATATATTGCTTTGATTTCCATATTCCGATGTGGTAATCTCGTTCTGTAATTTATCGATTAAAACTTGTAATTATATTTAAAAAATTTTCCAATTATCGCAAAGGTTTAATGTAAATCTCGTAGGTTTAATGGTAATCTCGTTCTGTAATTTATCGACTAGAACTTGTAATTATATTTAAAAAGTTATTCAATTATCGCAAAGGTTTAATGTAAATAGTATCAGTTTCTGCAACGTTCGAAGCAACGATTATCGAGATATTAACTATCGCGTGTAATTTTGTTCGTCTATTCGATACATAATTTCGTCCTTCCACATAGATACCTGGGGATGAAATTAGGAACGTGCCTATCAGAAAGAAATTCGAAATAGAATCGTCAAATGCAAGCGAAGAAGATGAAGACGTAGCTTGTTTCATATATGATATTCAATTATCAATTTTCGAATGATGCGAAGGGAAAAAGCGTGTTAGAAGTATTTTCTCGACTCCGACCTTCCTATACTCTTGTTACGTTAAATACATGCCGCGATATTTTGAACTATATACGTTACTCAGTCGATTATACCTACCAAGCCTGGGAAACCAACATGAAGTCATAATTTGTCATTATTCATACATATCTTTTTTTTTGCTTTATTCAGAAATTTTCTACGTGTACAATAACGTTGAGAATACATGTAAAAAGCTATGTATGTTATGAGTATTATGTACTGGTAACACGTGCGGCACGAAAATTTATTTTACATATTTAGGTTTTGGTGGTGGCTTGCTGGTAGTAGATTGTTTTCTCAGTCGAGTTCCAGCAAGCATTCGACACAGTCTACGGCGAAGTTCTAAGCTTAGCGTGATACACAGTCACAACTACTTATCAGTACCCAAGAGATCGTCATGGCAACCAGCACAATAAACTTGGAAAACGCGAGTGTAGAGGAAACGCGGGACTTTTTAGATTCATTCGACATCGTTTTATCGGATTGCGATGGCGAGTTTCCACTATCTACCCGTCTTATAAGTATTTTACATCGACATTTGCTTTTAAAATTCTTCCGATACTTATCGTTTACAAGGTTCGTTACAATGCAACGATTCCTAAATTCAAAAGAGACTGTGCGTCCTTACGCACCGAAATTAATACGTCTCGTATTAATTGTCGCGATCATCGGAAATTACGTATTTACGTATATTCTTGTCACGAGAAATATTTCCATATACACACACATACACAAGGTGCTAAGCATCATTTCCATGAAAATATTCGAGTATTTCGAGATGGAGAATTTGGCAACCACCTGTTTACCAATATGGTGAATCATAGACGATTATACTAACTTGACGTCTATTACTAGGTGTCCTTTGGTATCTTGACAAACCGATCCCTGGCTCAGCGCATACGCTTCGTAAACTACGGGACCTAGGCAAGCAGCTGTATCTATTAAGTAACAACAGTACCATAACCATAGACGAATTCTGCAAGCGTCTGGATTTACACGGACTAGATATCAAAGCGGTGAGTGTTGTTTTCGATGCTATCGACAGCGATTTCTGTTTGCCAGTGCGTGGAGAAATCGTTTATCGAAGATACATACACGGAGTATGCGGATTTGTAGGTAAAATAGATATGCGGGAATATAGTACGTGCATTCAGTATCGGGAGCGGTTATTGTAGATAACACCAATTTATGTATGTATGCACATATTTGAATACCTATAGAAATTTTTTCTGGATATGTTACGCATGTTATACGAAACAATTGTACAATAGAAACGTAACGAAACTCCTACTCTCGAATAAATTATTTCCCCTTTAGAATTTTCTGTTCTATTGCATCTCGTATTCCGTTTCATAGCGAATGTTTTACAGAAAGAAGTAATAAACACCGCGAAAACCATTAGCTGGTATCTGAAGAAGGTCCAGTTCACGGGCGAAGCTTTCGTGATTGCAACGACACAATTCCGACAAATTTTAATCGACGATGGATTTAAACTCGTACCACAGGAAGTGAGTAACATTAGCAAAGCTTACGATCGAGATATACATTGCTTCGAATTATTTAGAAAAATAATGTCTATCGGATTGCGGATTTTTACGTATTTATAGGATATACGAACATGTTTTGTACAATACAGTCACGAAGCTAATCTTTAAAATTCATTTGCAGAAAACTCAGATCGTAGAGCATAAACGATACGACGGACTAAAGGGTATCGAGGATGATCCAGCTATTAAAGCAGTGATCGTCGATTTCTGTACTTCCTGTGATTGGACAAAATTAGCATTAGCCATTTCTTGCTTGAATAGAAAAGATGTTCTTTACATATGCGGTTGTAGAGAGGAGTGGCTCGTTTATCGTGGCGATAAGAGAATTTTAGGTACTTGCATACATGTTTGACCAAACTTCATCGACACCTCTCCTATTATTTGCATATTTATCTTTTTCTTTTTTCGACTGTAAATATTAAGACAAATATCTAGAATCGAACGTTTCTAACTGTTTTTAATTTGTAATTATCTTGTTGTAATTTTGTTATTCCATTTGCATCACGCGCACCTTTTAATAAAATATTAAATAAAGTGGAATCTATCAGGTATAAACATAAGTAACAAATTAATTAACAAACATAAAGGATTTACAACAATTACTTTATTTGCAGGTTCTGGTCCTTTGATCGATCTAATTAGCAAACAGAGCAGAAGAACACCATTAGAATTTGCCAAGCCTAGTGAAAATCTAAAAGATTATGTTTTTGATACGTGCAACGTGAAAGATCCAAGCAGATGTTTAATCATCGGCGACTCGTAAATATACCTTCGTATAATCTATGTTTCTTAATCCTAGTTTTTTTTTTTTATATTTAATATTTCACATTCCAATTTGGACATTTGGTAGAATTTTTTAGCTGTTTGATTATCATGTGGGTAGCTACCCTCGGCGGGGTACCATTTTCGTGTTTGTTAGATTATATCCTTTATGGATTATATCCTAATGTTCACGATTTTTCAAAGGAAATTTATGTTGCTTTTAACGTTACGATGAATCATTACTCGATCTTTAATCGCCTAGTATGAATCATTCTCTTTCTTGTTTCAGGATAAACACAGACATGAAATTCGGTGCTATGTGTGGATTTAAAAAATTGTTCGTCAACACGGGCACGGACAAAATAAACGAAGCGGCGATGGACGACGAGTGCTGCCCAGATTTCTATATTCCGAGTCTAGCGTTGTTAAAACCCCTTATCGATTCGCTGCAAAACGAATCGGCAAACTAGAAAAATCGTGTTTCTCCTGTTTCCACTTGTTCAGTGGTAGCCTTTACAAATTGATATGTAACACGCCAAATTTATTTTCGTTACCAATGACAGAATTGTTCAAGATTTTTTGCTCAACTTTACAACTTCTCATTTGTCATCGATTTTTAGTCGCTTTAGACGATAATATTAATATCTGCGAATGTATAAGGAATAATGTAAATACGATACTAATAACCAATGAAACGAGATTTTATTTAATCAGTTCAATTTGCATTTCTGCCGAGGATTACTGACAAGGCGAAGGTTAAATGAAATATGCTAACTCTTATCAAAACCTCACTCATATCGCGCTTGTTCGTAACCGAGATAGAAAGAACATTTCCGATGTGTATATTATTCAGCGAAAATTGATGGCACGTTCGTGTATCTCTATCTTCAAATTAGTATCATTATCGTAATTGTTGTATTAGGTCACATATTTAGAAACTGAAGCTCCGCGGAATTTCTATGTTAACAGTTCCAGACGTGAAACACTTGACATGAAATTATATCATGTATAAGACCAATTAAAATGAAGTGAAATTAGAAAATTATCATATTACCAAATACAAGTACCAATTATTTTCTTATTGTTAATTATATTGTGAATTTCCTATAAATCTTTCCCAGAAAAACTACAGTAGAACCTCGATTATCCGAAATGATGCGCCTATCTCGAATAATACGATAAGGTTTATCAGTATTCGTAAATCGCATAATAAGATAATAGAAAACATTTTGATAACGTCATATTGTTTAATTCGTTGTTTAATCGATTGAAAGTTTGATCGACTGCTTTCACATTACCAGACTATGTTTGTACTTTCGTACTCTTTGTATTAATATTTCGGAAGAAGAAAAAAAGAAAAAGGAAGTTACGGTAAAAATTAAAGTAGCTCGGATAATACGGAACTTCGGTTAAACGGATTTCGGACAATCGAGGTTCCTTTTTCCATTTTGTTACGTAATTTCTGTTTCAAAATTTAGCATAAAATCTGCATATATATTAGAAACAGACAAATGAGAATACATAATATATCACATAGATATCTAGGACAAACCTTTTTAAATTTCGCGATATAATTATCGGAATGGTTTAGCGTTATTGTAATTCATAGTAAAATGATTGAAATGCATCGAGTCATCGTACAAATAGATACCAACGTTGCGTCATTACCATTCGATGTATTACTCTCGATGTTATATCATCATTGGACTATGGATTTTTATATATTTCTAGTTAATTAGCAAATGCAAGAATACAGTATATAAACTATCCAAAGTATGACAACTCGTTAGGATATTCAACGAGCAAAATAAATCTCCATTGAAATTCTATTTCTCCTATTCATAAAAATCTAAATTCGAATGGACATTTGTAACTCTAACGACATGCTAATCCTAACCTAAATATAACCTAACGCTAGTCGGCGTCAGGAAGCTTTTGGGAAATGTAAGGTTTCAAATATCTAGAGAAGTCACATAACATATACAAATATATAAAATATCCAAAATGGAGTACCTATTACGATATTTAAAGGATGAAACAAATTCCTATTTAGAATTTGTTTCTTCAGTCTCGTTCATGAATATGTAAAGTTGCATAAATACCCGATAATATATTACTGTTATGGTGATTCAAAGAGAAGTGCAGGGTCAGGCGGTGGTTTCGAGAAAAATGACTTTTAATAACGAGTCAACGATTTCACGTACATCACGCTTATATTCGAAATATAAACTGTGATACCTTCCGTTTCGATAGGAAAAATTTCTTCTTTAATATATGTCGGAGATGAAAGGAAAGCCGAAGCCTTTCCTTGGAAATTTTGACAACATCCTCTAGTACTCTAGCCTAGATTTTATCATAGCTGTAATTGTTCGAGATTCGTGATAGCGAGATTGGGTTCGAGGTGACAATTGGTCACCGAACGGAGGTCTGGAGTGGTTGTATGGGTTTTCCGAGACATGCGGCCTCGCCACCTGTGAGGTTGCCTCGGAGGTGCCGATACAATGGGACATACATTGTATTAATAATCAAACTACAGTCAGAAACTGCCTAGCAACGACATTTGGAACTTTCTCGATGCTTCCAACGAGTGCGTATCAAACTCGAGACAGAGACTGCCTAGCAACGGGCGTTTGGAACCTTCTCGATGCTTCAAAACCAGTATAGAAAACAAAATGCAATCGTACAGCGAGGAAAATCTGCACGAGGCTAGCATTAGTGCGATTGCCTTGGAGAGTGACACATCGAGCATTTTCAACAATCGTATTTTGCGCCTAAGATTAGTTTACGTTTAGTAAAGAGTTATCCCGTTGACCGTGGATTCGTTTGAACCCAGGAAACATTGTTAATAGTGTTTATTAAATTTATTAGTCGTAAATCATTAAACTCATTATTCGTTAAACTTATTGTTCGTTAGACTTATTATCTGTTAAACTTAATTATTCGTACAATTTATTATTCACTAACTTCATTGTTCATCAAACTTATTATTCATTAGACTTATTATTTGTTAAGCTTAGTGATAGTCTTGTATATACGTGTAAATATAATCTCGGCTTTGTGAAACGATGGCTAATCCACGCGAAGAGTTGTTACGCGCCCAGAATCCCAATCTTAATCCGACATATATATATATATTTAGATTTTATAAAAATATACATGCATGACAAATAATAATTATTAATATAAATGAAATAATAAAAAAATGTAATAAATAATAATGATATACATATAATAAATGTTATTATATAATAATTTCTTACTAATATAATAATAATTATAACAATATATATATATATATAGAAATAAACTATTTTCCTATTATTTGGTAGCAATGACTGAATTTAAGCGAAAGTTGCAGATACACCCTTCTGACTTAACATGGTGGAATAAGCACAGCTAAAAATTTTTTGTCTCTTGATTCCTCGTGATTTCAACGCGATTGTTCCATCCCATGGAAGTTATCGGTCGACTCATGAACTGCGGTAAAAAAAAAAAAAAAAAAAAACGAAAGAANNNAAAAAAAAAAAAAAAAAAAAAAAAAAAAGGAAAGAAAGGAGAATAAAGGACGTTCGTCACGAGTAAATCGCCTTTGACACTTTCTGGTCAACGACTGACGCGTTCACAGCGCACAATCGGCGATACCATAGACCTGCGCCGATAAGAAGTGAAGAAGGGGCACACGCAGTCGGGCCATTGCATAATACAATCGGTAGCGACACAGCACGGATACTCCGAAATGAAGAAAATACGCCTGTGAGCCCGAAACGACGGTTTGCACGAGTGCCAAAACCGCGAGGATCATGCAAGAACACCCGGTATGTACTTATCACGATAAAACACGTTTCTTCATTCCATATGAACACATTGTTCATGAGAATCGAGGTTTTTCGCTTCGTAAGCATCGGCACATTCTCCAAAAGTGTTTGAGAATCGTATAAGTTTCTTTCGCACCATGCAACGTGTTAATGTAGAAACTGTAATAAGGTTCTCGTTAATTAAAGTGGAATTTATTTTCAAATAAACATGAATGCAGCAGCGAGTTGCTTACGCGATGCATATTTCAGTTTTTCATTGAACGATAGGAGAAGACGCGAACCAACGCTTTTTATAAAAGTTGACACAAATATAAAAGCTAATAAATTTCCATCGATTGAAATGAAATTTGCATTCGAATGAATTATTCATTGCGCGTGGATTATGCGATGCAGATGTTTTTCATTTGACGACGAGAGACGCGAGCCGATGTTTTCCAAAAAGTATCGGAAAATTATAAAATCAATTCCGCGAACACTTACTACTAACACCGTGTCAACGTAGCAACTCTGATAGAGATTTTCGCTGATTAAGATTGAATTTATTCTCACATTGAAGAGAATATCGCGAGTGAGTGGTACCTGTGATGCAGACCAAGTTAGAGAATTTGGATACGATATCAAGGCCACGGGTCGAGCTGAATTAGAAGAATTAATCTTTCCGATTGCTTGCGAGTACGGCGTTGTTTGAACTGATAATTGTGTTCTGTAAATGTTAAGTGTAATTGTGTTTGAAAGTGAGTAACATAGATGAATTTTAAGCGATATCTTTGAGAATGTTAGTAGATGAGAATTGTCTGAAACGATCAAAAACTACGAGCAAACACACCGCGCTAAGCCTCTTTGTAGCAGGAATTCGATTAGGGAACAATGGCATTATGCTCCATTGTTACTGCACGTATTCGACGCAGCTTCGACTTTTCGGATGACGAGCATTGTTCTTAGACGGCCGCGTGACTCTAACAGCTACGTGAATTTTGGATATAACTTGCTACATAGGTCGATTATAAAGTGATTCGAGAGAGATTGACGATTAGTCGATGCTTATCTAATCTCGTTGAGGAAAATTACTGATGCTCTTCTTGTCACAATAAGTCTTTAGATAAACATAACATAAAACGGTGACTAAGGCGCGATGGCAGAATCGTAAAAAAAATGTTATGTTCGTAGACAACAGATACCAAGAAAATGGATTTTTTACCGAAACAAATTAATGGACTTTAGGAATATGGGAGCGAGTTAAAAATCTAGAAATTTATATGTTTCATATGACGTGATTAAATTTTAATTATTATGACGAGCTAAGATATAATAATGGAACTTCATAAACTTAATAAATAACGAAATGGATTAAGAATTCTGGAATTTCTTTAGCATAGTTTCAGTCGAACTTGAATAATCGTTTGCGCTCTACTAAAAATCGTTGACAAAAAGATTTCGATCAAAATTCAAACATCCAAACCTTCGACAAATTTTTATCACTCTAATTATATTTCAATTATTATTTCTATGACAAATTATGCAAGAATGGATTTTGACCGAAATTTAAGTCAACATTATAGAAAATTATACAAAACAAATCCAATCAAAATTCAAAATTCCAAGGCTACAAAAAATGTCTATTCCAAATTTTAGAACATTTTATCCAAAAGTATTACAACTAAATTTAAGCTGCTATTTTTCCTCTACTAAAAACATTTTTAAAAACAATTTTTTCCTTATCAAAACGCGGAGCTTCGTTAGAAACGTTTTTAACGTTTCCACGAGCACTTTTTAGCAGCCATCCCATTAAGCCCTGTTCTATTTTAACTCAAGGTCGTATCTTTTTCTAGTACTGGCGCTCAACCATCGCGATAACGTGCGGTTTCGTGGTCATCCTCGCGGCTGCTGTTTGGACTATAAGGAAAACTTCCCATGAAAAACGGAAGCGGTCTCGAACAAATGATTCAAAAGAGCCAGACAAAGTGAACGCGAATGTTAATAGCGAGAGCAACATAAATAACAAGAACGAAGTAACTCGCGAAGAAGATGTAAATGTGGAGGAAAATGAGGAAACATACGACAAGCAATCTCCAAACGATAAGGAATATCCGAACGATAAGGAATATCCGAACGATGAGGAATATCCGAACGATGAGGAACGTCCAAAGGATGAGGAACGTCCAAAGGATGAGGAACGTCCAAAGGATAAGGAACGTCCAAAGGATGAGAAACGTCCAAAGGATGAGAAACGTCCAAAGGATGAGGAACGTCCAAAGGATGAGAAACGTCCAAAGGATGAGAAACGTCCAAAGGATGAGAAACGTCCAAAGGATGAGAAACGTCCAAAGGATGAGAAACGTCCAAAGGATGAGAAACGTCCAAAGGATGAGAAACGTCCAAAGGATGAGAAACGTCCAAAGGATGAGAAACGTCCAAAGGATGAGAAACGTCCAAAGGATGAGAAACGTCCAAAGGATGAGAAACGTCTGAGGAATGTCGAAGTGTCGAAGCGATGAGGAATGTCGAAGCGATGAGGAATGTCGAAGCGATGAGGAATGTCGAAGCGATGAGGAATGTCGAAGCGATGAGGAATGTCGAAGCGATGAGGAATGTCGAAGCGATGAGGAATGTCGAAGCGATGAGGAATGTCGAAGCGATGAGGAATGTCGAAGCGATGAGGAATGTCGAAGCGATGAGGAATGTCGAAGCGATGAGGAATGTCGAAGCGATGAGGAATGTCGAAGCGATGAGGAATGTCGAAGCGATGAGGAATGTCGAAGCGATGAGGAATGTCCAAAGGACGATACGATTGCCGAATTACCAGATCCAAAATGGGAGAAGGTTGGCCAGATTCAAGAACTATATATGTATCCATTGAAGTCTGGACGTGGAAAGAATGTAAGGGAATGTGACTTTACCGAATATGGAATGAAATTGGACAATGCTGGAAAGTTCGCCCTCAGAGACAGGTAAGCAAACTTTTTATGATAGTTCACCAGATATGATCTTCAATTCTAGGGAAAATTTTATTTGTCAGTAATTTTTTTGTCATGTACCTTGGTTTTGGCCTTAATATCAAACATGATATATCCACGAATACAGTAAAAATGTCATTTATCATGTTTCAGATTAGTTACGCTATATTATATCAGGTTTTTTTAGTTTTTTTAGTTCTTATATTTGCTTAAGTGCATTTTGGTTTTGATAAATGTTGAATTTTTTGTGTAGAAAATTTGTTTCTCATTTATTGAGAATTAATTCTATTATAGCAATTGCACTGTCGCATAAATATGTCAAAGCTTTTGTAAAAAGATAATGTCCATTGTTAGGATCATTCTTCAGCCCTAATACTCATCCTAGCTCACATTCTCCTAGTGATTATCCTACAGAACCTTTAACACGTATACTATGAAAATATTAAAAAACACGGAAACATGCATTATTTTCATTATATCATTAACATTTATACTTGCTTCTTCAAGGAAACGTCGCCAAACATCTTCAAACTCCCTTCACAATATTCTATTAACAATTCCAACTCTTCCAGCACTGTTCTAATAAAATTATAAAATTCAATCACGTACTTTCACTGAAACATCATTTATATTCACTATACAGAAATTTCACTGCACTACAATAAATTAGCTTCACTATACGAGAACATCGTATTACAATACGTATAACTAACAACAGCGACATATAACTAAATCCTACAGACCCCTTCCCAAAGGAACCAAAGATGAATTCCCTCCCTGCTGTTCATCAGAATGTTTCTAGTGTACAACGAGGAAACTGGACGCTTTCAAACCGGAAGACAATATCCAACCTTGATCCTAGTGAGTTTATCGGTGGTGGATGAGAACAAGGTGAAGTTGGAGGCTGTAGGGATGCCCAGCGTAATCTTCGAGGTTCCAAAGAACTTGATGGACGCGTCCGAAGCCGTACAGTGCAAAATGTGGTGGGGAGAGCCAGTGAACTGTATCGATTGTGGCACGGAACCCGCCGAATGGCTATCGAGGTTCGTATTTGCATCTCTTCCCTTCCTACCTCGTAAGTAGGTTATGAATTTTTACGTACTTGTAGGAAATTTGAAAACGCGAAACTATTGCGCTTAATACGAAGAGATATAAATATTACTAAATATAACATAAAATATTACCAAAATAGACTGCTTTCTGCGATATTTGAAAGACGAAACAATATCTTCAAAAATACGAATTGGCACAGAAATTTCTCGATAAATTTTATTTTCCCCTATTTTTCGACGATAAACGTGTCCTGTTGATTTTTAGTCGAATAAATTAATTTTGACTTGCTTCGACATTGATGCACTTGGAAAATTAAAAAATCAAATCGGTGGATTTCTAAATTTTTATTAATTTTCATTATTGCTATTGATTTGTAATTAATTCATATTAATTTTCATTAATAAGACTCACGTTTCTTTATAGATTTCTGACTGGAACGACTTCTGGTCTTCGACTGGGGTACACGAGAATGGATAGAAGAGACGTTTTCGTCGATCCGTGGAAAAAATTCACTCAAGTATACCGGACACTTAGAAGCGAGGATACCGTAATTATCTCAATTTTTGTCTTCCTTTAAGCGGGAAATTCATATATTTTGCCGATCGAAGGGATGCTTTCTAGGGGCTGTTCAGTGACCTGGCCAGTTATATGTTAATGACCACAAGCTCCGTTGAACAACTGAACGAAAAATTGGAAACACCAGTGTCTACTCTACAATTCCGTCCAAATATTTTGGTCTCTACGCAACAACCATTCGAGGAAGATGAATGGGAGTGGATTAAAATTGGTGAACGTGTCGTGATTAGGAACGTCAAACCGTGCTCACGGTATAGTAAATATATTTTAATTATCATGCACTCTTAAGTGATTAATTTTATGTGTCCCTGATATCATCAAAATATTGCAATTTAAAACAAATATTTACAACGACGACGAGTAAATTTATAAAATAAACGAAATAGATATATACAGGACGTTTCAAAATTACATATTCCGCGAGTGATTCATTTACAACGCTATAACAGCGAGATTCTGCTATGTTTCTAGGCGAAGATTCTTCAAAGGTTCTTACGCGAAGAAATATGTATACTTTGCTTTAGCAGTTAACGCATATACCGCTAATATACTCTGCTTATGATATACGATCCATAAGATCCTTAACACCTTAAAAATCTTAAGTGTAACATTTATCCACCGTTTCTCGAAATGTAGAATTCAAGTTACGGATTACTCGAATAATGCAATTCATATTTCAGATGCAAACTAGTGGGCGTGAATCCAGAAAACGGCGTGATGGACAAGGAGGAGCCGTTGAAGACTTTAAAATCGTACGACGAGATACGCTATCTTCATCGAGCACATGGATAAACCAAGAACTAACAACTACACTGGTTGACAAAAGTCTTTGTACATATAATTGGCTTTTTCTGTATATCGTGTGTGTCATATAAAACATTTTAAAATTGTAAAATGTTTCACGTAACGTGCCTTATACGTTGATTGAAAGTGTCCATAAGTGTACAAATAACTTTCGTGAGCCACTGTACATCAGAGATTCGCCTTTATTGAATCATTTTCTAATATTCTCCAGTTTCAGGGAGCCAACTGACCCAGAACGAATCTCGCTGGAGGGCAAGGCGCCAGTTATGGGGATATATTGCGGACTGTACGTTACTGGAAGAGTGCAGATCGGCGACGAGGTGTTCATTCATCGGTCCAATGATTCGTCGGTAGAATTGAATCATCGGGAGGCAGAAAATCCTAGATAGATAAGAAATATATTGAAAACTAACTCGCTTTCGATGGCCTTTCTATTTCAAGATAGATAAAGTTCGTGCGTTAAAAAAGATACCGATATATGTACGTTCATGTTTGATGAACAATTATGGATTATAGTATTTTCAGGCGAACGACTCAATCGAGTAATTTCTAGAAGATTCGAAAGACTTCAAGACAATATAAATGCGCCATTTGTACGATCGATTCTTGTCAATTCAAAGCTATGTAATTATTATACGTTGTATATGTATGTTGTTAGGTGTCCTAAAATAAGTGGCACTGGTTTGCATTGGTGTTTCCCAATTCATGTATTTTAGGGCACTTCAGAGATAATGTTTAAAAATCGTTATGCTAAATAAAGTTTTGATTGTTATACAACGTCCATGTCTATTATTTTCTTTCTTCTTCCTTTTCTATGAAACCCAAGCTAAGTTTGAAAATGATTTTACTTGTGATTTTACCTTAAAGATGAATTAACTATTTTAGGAAGAAATGATATATAATATTATATGAAATTAATACAGAGATATAAATTAATTTCCTATTAAAGACAATACAATACACACTAAAAAGCTGAAGATTTAGAGAAACAGCAGTTAACGTTCATAAATTTCACAAAACACCATCACCGTTGAAACAACTAGATGAACATTTTTTCATGTTTATATCTTCCAAGTAGAAGGATGTTGTAACAGTTTGTAGATCAGCTGAAATCTTATTTCGCGAGTGATACGAACGAAGACTCCGAGACGAATGGTGTATGATCGCGAGAGTAATTGCATAGTAGATAAATGGTAATCAGAGGCCATGTTAGATAAAGAGAAATGGTAGAGGAGTAGGGAGACTATAAATAATAATACGTTCACGAGTACCATCTCTTTTAATAGTTTCAGTCTTCCAGACACGACACGTTCATGCATCATGTTGATCCATTCGTTACTCGCGTTCATCGTTTTTCTTTCCGGATCTTTGACAGTTTTCTGTCGCGATCCAAAGCCAGACGGTAAGCAGAATTTTTCTTCATTCTCCTATTCCTATAATCGTCATATAATATGTTAAATATAATTGCAATAAAAAAAGATTAAAAAATGGAAATTTGAACAGCGTTTCAGAACACTTTGGGTCACATTAAGCCTCAAACTTCACCGGAAGTGCAGGCTGAGGCTGCCAGAGGTGTTGCTGAAAGATTATTGGGACACGAACGAGCTGCAAAATTCCTAATGGTCGTGAATCCTGATCTTGGTCCTACTGGACTAGATACTTTCTTGGTAAATCGTATATCACGTTATAATTGTGTACAGATAAGCACAGTGCCGTGAATAATTGTAAATTCAATTCTGTTTCTAGATTTTTCACAATATCGAAACAATAGTTGACAGGATCGTTCATATAATTTCATGTTATGATACAAACCGAAACTGAAGATACAACAAACGAAAATTTTCTTCTTTTGAACTCTGGAAGAAATTACGTTTTCCTGTACGTTTTCTTGTGTTTTCGGCTGTGAAAAGAACATAATTCTCGTTCAATATTTAGCGCATTTTTCTTTACTTCTGATTGCTTTCGTTAATCATAGTGTTAGGTACACTATCCAATAATTTTTTTAACCAGTTAACTGCGGAATTTAGTTTTGGGAATCTCTCGTGGTATTAGGTCGTGGAGTGCGTAGATAAATACAAGCGGTGACGAGTATATTCGTTAAACGCAGTTAATCGGTTAAATTTTCGTTTTGAATATCCATTTACCCGGGTTTTATGCTTTTCTTTACGTTCAACAATATTTTCCATAGGTAGCTTCTTCTGATCGTAAACTGTTTTTGCTAGAATTCTCCGCAGGTACTCAATCGGATTTAGATCAGGATTGAGCGACGATCATGATAATAATCGTACTTCAAAATCTTGATCCACATTTTTGTAATAGCTGCCTTCTTGAATAGGGGCATGGTCTTGTTGAAAAATTACCTTTTTGTCGTCTATTTCAGTTACAGAAGGGCAATAATTCGCCATGTAAGATCTCCTGATACCCTATAGCGTTCAATTTACCTTTAGAAAAACGAGTTCACGTAACGTATCCAGGCACGAGCAATGTTTTCCTGGAAATATCGAAGAAATAATGCAAAACACTCGTTTTGATTTATAATTATTCACAGCACTAAATATGAATAGATATTTGTGTCCGTAAGCTCTTAAGTTTGATAAAGAACTCGACCTTGCCCTTGACACTGTATGGCCTTATTAGTATAAATATATATTATACTTATGAATTAAATTCTTATTAAAAACATGCTGCCGATTTGGGTAGCACTTACGACATACACGTTAATAGAAAGCTTTTTGATTTTTATCTCTTCTTGAATAGTATATATGTATATACAGGATGTATATACAGTATATGTAAAAAAGAAGTCGAAAATATAGAATACAAATTTTTCGTTTGAGGCTTCGTTTTCGAGAAAATCGACTTTGAATTTTCGCTCGGTACGCGTGCACTTTATCGCGTCTCGTTATAACGGATCTCACTGTAGATCTTTGTCTCGATTGACGTTATTTTTTTAATTTTAAAAATTTTTAAATTTTTAAATTTTTAAATTTTCAAATTTTTAAATATTTAAATTTTTAAATTTTTAAATTTTCAAATATTTAAATTTTCAAATATTTAAATTTTTAAATATTTAAATTTTTAAATATTTAAATTTTTAAATATTTAAATTTTTAAATATTTAAATTTTTAAATATTTAAATTTTTAAATATTTAAATTTTTAAATATTTAAATTTTTAAATATTTAAATTTTTAAATATTTAAATTTTTAAATATTTAAATTTTTAAATATTTAAATTTTTAAATATTTAAATTTTTAAATATTTAAATTTTTAAATATTTAAATTTTTAAATATTTAAATTTTTAAATATTTAAATTTTTAAATATTTAAATTTTTAAATATTTAAATTTTTAAATATTTAAATTTTTAAATATTTAAATTTTTAAATATTTAAATTTTTAAATATTTAAATTTTTAAATATTTAAATTTTTAAATATTTAAATTTTTAAATATTTAAATTTTTAAATATTTAAATTTTTAAATATTTAAATTTTTAAATATTTAAATTTTTAAATATTTAAATTTTTAAATATTTAAATTTTTAAATATTTAAATTTCAAAATTTTAAAATTTTCAAATTTTTAAATATTTAAATTTTTTAATATTTAAATTTTAAAATTTTAAAATTTTTATTCTATATTTTCGACTTCTTTTTTCGCATAGAATCACCCCCTTTCCGTTTGTACCACCAGTTACCAACCTATATCTATTATCCAGATATACAGACTATATAATATGGAATTAATATAATAATGGTAATTCCAGAGTTATGAATAGTTTGCTCTACTATAAGTATTCGAAAAAGCAAAGAATTGCAATTCTTTCGTATCTTTGTGCCTTCAAAATTCCCATAAATGCATAAAAATCAGTATTCTACTTATTGCGCAACCGCAAATTCAACTTAATTGCCAGATCAAGAAAAACTCCTTGGATCAAGTGGAGATCTTTGGCAGTTCCGGCGTGGCTGTAGCTTGGGGCTTGCACTACTACCTGAAAACTTATTGCAACGTTCACATTTCATGGGAGGGGAATCAAATCGAACTTCCTCAGACTTTACCAGATGTTCGAGTAAAAGTCACGTCCAATGATAGGTACGAAGTTTCAAGCAAAGAAGATGAAACCACTCGTAAACCGCAAGGGAAGAATATGATAAGTCATATTTTGTATAAAGCAGCAATTGCTGAATTCGCTGCAACGTCAATGAAACCTATATTACCAAACTATGTTGCAATTTGGTTTCCAGACAAAATATATAACGAACATCTTGAGAATACCGACAAAAATGCATTTATCGAATCCATTTGCTTCTGTGTAATCTTCGTCTGTCTTTCTCTTCGACATTATTTAATTCTTGAATTAGGCTTGGTAGAATTATTTATATATTATTAGATTTAGAATTATTTACATTAGATCTAGTATTATACGTATTGCATATTTTAAGAACATCTGAATGTCACAAAGCTAGTCGTTAGATTATTAAAATTAAAATTACTCATTACATTATATTCAATTTGGATCCTAACAGATTGCTGTTGTTTCAACCATGTCACGCTAAATGTAATATGAAAATTCGAAAATTGACAAAAATTGATTTATCTAGTCCTTCTCGTATAATCAACATTTGTTTCTTTCCTATGCTACTTAATCCATGAATTGCACAGGTTTAGGTACTATCAGAACGTATGCACTCTGGGTTACACTTTCGCATGGTGGCAATGGGATCACTGGGAAAGAAACATCGACTGGATGGCCCTTAATGGAATCAATTTGGCTCTTGCTTTTAACGGGCAAGAGGCAATCTGGCAGAGAGTATATCTCCAATTGAATTTCACTTCAGACGAGATTAATGAGCACTTTGCCGGGCCAGCATTTTTGCCTTGGTAACCCTTACAATGATTTCCGTTACAATAATCGCGGTGGAATCCTGACATTCGTAACATAATTCCAAGTATACTTCTGAAGTATATAATGAATTCTGCAGGTGCTCATTTATAGGTAGACAGAGGGTATTTATGCAAATTTATATCTTTGTGAACATACACAAAAATATGAAAATTGAATAGCAGTTTATTTCATTCATAAAGTTTGTTATTTCAGCTTTAATGGGAGCTGTAGAGATTATTATAATGAATAATTTTACATATTTTATATTTTTATAGTTTCTGAATTTTGAGATCTTCTATAAATCCATCAACGTCTGCAGTATATTGATGAAACATTTCTTTATCTGTTTCTTTATCTCCCTTAGAAAATCTGCTTGTATTTAACTGTTGATTTCCTCTGAACAAAAAACATCGTAGAATTATCGATAACTTTCTGGTATTTTGGAAGGATTATCTATTTGACGAATCATTGAAGAGACACTTTCTCCGTTTACCTTGACTTAGTGTAATCAATAGGTCCAAAGTTTCATTTGTAATTTTCTATATGTCACGGTTACTTATACAATTTCTTCAATCATGAAAATTATTAATCATTTGTTGGCTATCTGAAACTTGGTTCTCCACTCAACCATCAGGTCTGAAACTTAAAAAAGATGGAAGAATAGCAAATTAGTTCGTTATTTTTGCCAGATACTTGATTTTGTAAAAAAAAAAAAAATGAGTCCAGATCAACTGTGCTAAATCTATTAAAATTTAAAATCAGCAGAAAAATGGGGAAGACTTAACATCTTAATGTTTTAGAATTACCTCCTAATTCTTTTTATTGAAACTTAATTTTTGTATTAAAAAATTGATTTAAAAATTGTAGTAAAAAAAAATTTCAAAGTCTCCAA